GGGTGGTGGGTCCTCGGGAAAGTGGCCCCATGTAGCTTCTTCGGGCTGTGCATTTTCAGCCTCTACGCACTTTTTCCCACATTAACAGTGAACAGATATTTCACCATGCTGAATGTATCGCCAAAAACTTGTTCCTTTGTACATCATTCCTGAGCAATGTTGAGTTTGTTTTATTGATCCAGTAGGTTTTATTTGCTTCTCAGGCTCTCTCTCTCTCTCTCTTTTTTTTTTTTTTAGTAGAGTTTGGTTCGGGCAGGCTGTTTATTTTTGACATTTAAAAAAAAATGAGATATGTGAAATAAAGTGAATATTACTAAATTTTACGCCTAGATTTAGTTATTTTTATTTTAACAGAACCACACGTCACATATAATAATGTCAAGAATTGTCTGAAAGCTAAAAACCAGATGACTCTTTCTGTTTTATAGCTTCTGGCCTATAAATGGTGTAATTTTTGCTGATTTTTTAAAAGATTTTTAAAAAAAAAATGGCCAGCAGGTTTTGGGAATGTATCAGATATAGCCCCAGTGGGTAACTCAGGAGATGTGAGCGTCTCCCTGCATTAGCCTGCTGGAAAGAAAGTTAGGCTACATTCGGATAATTCCTCCCTGCAAAAAAATCCCAAAGCATCTACACATGACTGCAGTGTGAAAGGATGGAGTGGGAGGCTGTCTGTGCTCTTTTAACTGACATGAAATCACACAGTAACATCCTTTTGATAATGAGGATCAGTCTGACATTTAAATCTGCATGTTATCCTGACCAGAGTTTCTGCACGACCCAAGAGAAGAATGCAGTTAAACAGTGAGAATGTAAAAATTATGTTAGTGGTAATCGGTTTCATGGTAATGCTGGCCAAAATCTGAAATTTTAATGGAAAACCAGTGTGGAGGATATGGCTGAGAATTAGTTCTTATTATATGACATTTTTCCATTACTTGCCAGCAGTACATAATAGTACTTCCCAGTGATAAAGTTATTTGAATTAAATGCAAATGTACCCTGATATAAATCAGAAAACTGAATATATTGACTGAAACTCCACAAATAGAAGGAGTGAGCAGCCTCCTGCAGCACAATCCAACACTTTTAGTTCATCAATATATAACATCAGCGAACAGTCTACATTTGGATGCGAAAACATTTTGAAAACTACCATCACTGCCTCCTAAAGCAGGGAAGTGAAAATATATATTTACAATTTGGTCATATATGCAAAGGAAACTGATACCAGTGCTTTTAAAGACTTTTAAAGACGTGCATTCTAAAGAACAATATACTGTATGTTTGGTTTGATTTAAGAGCTGGACACGCTGACTGCAGCTCTCATTGTGTAGTATCTTTTGTTCTTATTATATTATTATTACTGTTAACCCAGAGTTTTCTTTTCAACTGTGACATTATAGAACAAGGCTTTCAGTTTGAAGAAGTCAGTCGACCACTGGAGGATGGAAGTGTAAGTCAGCTACAGAACTTTCACTCAAGACACTGGGAATTGTGTCGGTTGTGTCCAAGAACATAGTCTAACAGTCATAATGTAACATTCTGTTTCTACAGTCATGGAAAAAAATATTGGACCACCCTTGTTTTCTTCAGTTTCTTGTTCATTTTAATGCGTGGTACAACTAAAGGTACAATTGTTTGGACAAATATAATGATAACAAAAAAGGCTCATAAGAGTTTCATTTAAGAGCTCATGTCTAGCCATTTTCCATGATTTTCTTTAAAAAAAAAACCTAAATCACTTATGTTCTTACATCAATAGCTATGGCATTGTACTGCCAAAAACAGTGCTTTAAAGCATTCCATGTTTTCTGTCTGTTTTAGTCACATGATACACACAGGAGTTAGTACTTGATTGCATAACCATTGTTTTTGAGGACTGCAGCCATGCATCTTGGCATGCTCTCTCCAACATTGTTCTGCTGTCAAAGCAGCCCATTCCTGTAGCACAAATTCAAGTAAATTTGCTTTGTTTTTGGGCTTGTGGTTCTCCATTTCGCTTTGATGATTTTCCACAAGTTTTAAATTGGATTGAGATCTAGTGATTGAGCAGGCCAAGGCATGGTTGGAATGTTCTGGTTCTCCATCCAAGCTTTAACTGACCTTGCCATGTAGCAAGGAGCATTGTCTTGTTGGAAAATCCAGTCATTCAATCCAGGAAAGAGGAAGACTGTTTTCAAGAGTAGCCCTGTACATGATCTGGTTCATTCACACTTCACACAATTGCATTTGCCCTGTTCCGCCCATACTGAAACAAGCCCAGATTGTCACTTATCCAGGGGCAAGACAGGGGCAAGACAGTCTGGTTTGTAGGCTTCTCCAGGCTTCCTCCTAACCAGCAAGTTGGCTGGAGTGGGCTTTAACTGAAAATTGGATTCATCACTGAAGAGAACCTTAGCCCAATCATCAACAGTCCAATCCATGTGATCCCCAGCAAAGAGTAACCGGGCTTTCCTCTGCCTTTCGTTGATGAAGGCCTTCTTCTGTGCCCTGTGTGACTTCAGAGCAGCTTCAAGAAGTCAGTTTCCCACTGTCCTTGCCGAACAAGTCACATTTCTCGACAGTGCCTACTCATTTCTAAGGTCCCTGGAGGTCTGACGATGATTCCTGACACAGGAACGGATGAGTGCACGGTGAGGTAGAAAGACGTTTCCTGCCGCGACCAGCTAGCAATTTGGTGGTACCATGTTGGGCTCATTTTTTTCTTGGTGCAATGAACGGCTGTCTTGGAGATCTTCAGTTTTTTCCCTATCTGTCTCTCACTCATGCCAATTTCCAGCAGTGCCAAGATGGCTGCCTTTGTGGCTTCACATAATTCTTTTGTTTTAGGCATTATGTGACAGCTGACAACTTCTGAGTTGTGCTACGGCTTGGTAATATACCTTTAGTGGTACCAGGCATTAAAATGAACAAGAAATTGAAGAAAACAAGGGTGGTCTAATATTTTTTCCATGACTGTATGTGGCGATATTGGTGCTAGACTTAAGTTTTGATTTCACTCGCTGTTTGATTAAGTTTAGGCATCAACAGTAGTTAAGTTTAGGAAAATATCAGGCTTTTGTTGACACTTTGACAAAGATAATTACATGTTGCAAATAGCACAGTTTGAGTAAATACAGTTTTACAGGGTTATTTATTTTATATGCACTCTAAACAATAATGCATAAGCCTAACAAGAAAAACTAACAGTTGATATCATTCTTATAAGTTATGACAACTTCTAAAGAAATTATGTTCCGCCAGCAAACATAGCGTTACATGAGATAGCGTTTCCTTAACTATCAAAGGTATTTTTTTAATTATAACCAACTGGTCGCATCAACACTGGTTTTTAAGCTTAACTTGAAAACATACACAACAAATCTGAATTTAACTTACACACAATGTAAAGCTGATGCAATTATGGACATTATTATAACAACCAATTCCATAAAATATCATTTAAACTCATAAGCTGTACATAAATCAACAAATTAGAAGTTTAATCTTGCAACCATGTATCTATGTTAGTAGTGGAAATGAGTTCCCTGAATGACTTTTGAGAGTGTACATGAGGTAGGTGGACAATAGAGCAATGGAGCTGAGAGCAGTGTTGCTGGAATGAATATATGAATCTATGAATATGTACATGGTCTTTTCAAATTTGGGCCAGATTGTGAGGTAGGATCAGCAGTTTTTTTAAATTTAGAAATAGAGCTGGTGCAATTTGTTGATTATGCAATTATCTTATTGACAGAATACTTGATATTAGATTGATTAGGCTGGAGCCTATCCCAGCTGACTTAGGGCAAAGGCAGGGGAGACCCTGGACAGGTAGAGAGACAGACAACCAAGCACACTCACATTCACACCTGTGGACAATTTAAAATCACCAATTAACCTCAACATGTCTTTGGACTGTTTATCCAATAAATAAAAAAAGACCAATATGATTAATGAAGAACATGACTACGAGATTAACTGATAATGTGTTGACTTGCTGCACGGAGAGAACAAAGCAATCAGGTAAATAAAGTCAAACCTTTATTTGAAGTGCTTTTTTGTACTGGCACTTAAAGTGAATGTATGTTTGATTGAATCCATGTTTTCATGTGTGATCAGTGCTCTCCAAAATGGAAAGTTTGGGAGTTAATCACTATTTGGTGAATTATTTATATCACAAAACAATACCATTTATCATATATCAGTAGCAGGTATGTGCAGGAGGAGCGTTTTCATTTCTCACAGAAATTTTAAGATAATAGCTATAAAATGAATATTGGTTCAATTTAATCTACTGTAGCGAGGAGAGATCTCACATTTAATCATTCCCAAACACATATTTTTGACAATCTTAGACAAAACGTTTGCTTCCAACACACTACTCACCAGAAAGTAATTGGTGACGGTCCTCATGCGTTTATGCGCCAGAATAATCCAGATGACCACCACGTTTCCGACAACTGACACCGCCACGATGCTGCAGTAAGCGACAGCCCACAGTGTGATCTGCCACACCGGCTGGATGAACTGGTTGAAGCCGTCGCTGCAGTTCACGGAGACGTTCGTCCCGTTCGCGGCGTTACAGTCGGTGGTATTGTAGAGAGGGTCCATGCTCCGGGCATCAGCCTGCTGGATGTTATAAATAGATTAGTGTTCTGTTACTGGATTTGGCCGTCGTTTGGGGGGCTAAAAGAGTAGCGCGTGTGGAAATGTACAAGACAAAAAAGCGCAGCTGGCACAATTTACGCACCGAAAACCCGCGCGCTCCCACGGACATCACTGCACCATGACGCACGAGAACCACCGAGACTCTACAGGGAGTTAAAGCTTCACGCCCACCCTCCTCACTGCTCACTCCCCCTCACACACCCCTTTTTTCTACACTGTTAAGATGAATTTTTTTTTTTGCTGTATTTGTTAAATTGCAGATCCTGTCTAGTAAACCACAGGAAAATGATAAGCGTTAACTGTAGAAAGAAAACAGCCTATTGTCAGCTTTTAAAGTCAATTTTTTTAGTATGTTTTAAATCAGCAAAAAAAAACTCAAAAAAACAAAAACAAAAACAAACAACAACAACAAAAAAAACAGTCTCATTATTTTACAGGAAGTTGCCATTTTCCATCATTTTTTAAGTTTTCCATTTTTTAAAGAATTCCATTTTTGTTCTGCCACCCTTGCTGCAAGATTTTCACTTGTTTTATGATTTAAACATTTTTATTTTTTTTTACAGTGTCTAGTCACTCCCAATGATCAGTCTTAGCCTCTTGCAGCCAATATCAGCTTCTGGAATTAATCATCATGTGTGACCCTGATGCCACATAACTTATCTGGACTAATACAATCTCAGGAGGATTAGTCCTCAATAGGGTCAGTCTGATGATACTGACTTATATAATATGATGGATTTTATTGTCAAAAACTGGTAAGATACATGCATAATTAATAAATAGTTTATAACACACCAGTCTATAATGTAGGTGTAAGCAGAAATGACGTTTAAAATTGTACTTTATTATGCATGACTTGTGTACAGACAGATGATGGCAACTGTAACATAAGGCTTGTGTATATTTAGCCTATTTATATTTATAGCCTATTATATCCATCCATCCATTGTCTATACACCGCTTAATCCTCACTAGGGTCATGGGGGGGCTGGAGCCTATCCCAGCTGACTCAGGGCGAAGGCAGGGGACACGCTGGACAGGTCACCAGTCTATCACAGGGCCCCATTTAGAGAGACAGACAACCAAGCACACTCGCATTCACACCTGTGAACAATTTAGCATCACCAATTAACCTCAACATGTTTTTGGACTGTGTGGGAGGAAGCCAGAGAACCCGGAGAGATTCCACGCTGCACGGGGACAACATGCAAACTCCACACAGAAAGATCCCGATGTCCTTACCGGGATGCGAACGGGTGACCTTCTTACTGCGAGGCAATGGTGCTAACCACTGAGCCACCTTGCAGCCCTAGCTTATTATATATACATATATATTTTAAATCCTTACAGATTGTGCTAATTTGCCCATATTTACAATTTACAATAGAAGTGAGCAAACACTGAGCAATATGGCTTAATTGTCATTTTATTCCAATTTTTATAACCTTACAGTAATTACATCAAACAGTGGGCCTTTTGCTTCTATGCCAAACTAAAAACTAAAACAATTTTTACTGTATTAAAAACATAGGCCCCATCGTAGAAACTTAATGCAACAAAAGGCAGTATACCTTTCATTGCGGAGATTCAAACCTTCTGTCTTATGTATATTATATACTTTGTATGTCCACCTTTATAATAATAAATAATAATAATAAATGTAAGACAGACATATATATAACATATAGCAAATTTCTGGACAGATGTTCTATCATTCAGCTTCTCATTGCTGGAGGGCTTGTATTGCTACCCTTTTCTGTAAAATGTCCCAAAGGTGTTCTGTTGGATACAAGTCAGCAAACCTGCTTGTCCAGGTCATAGTTTTGACTTGGTTCTTCTTTAGAAACTTTTGCTCTTTTTCTTGCTGGATTATTGTTATGCTGGAGTCTTGTTCTTTTGTATCTTCTGTAGAATGGAAGTCATCTTGTCCGCCAGTATTTTGGTGCATCCACAGACATTCATGGTGTCATCTATAAAAGTCATCTCCTCAACTCCTTTTGCTCTCATGGAGTCACATATCACCAGACTCCCACCTCTGTGCTTCACTGTCAGGATTATGCATTTACTTTTATAGTACTGAACAGGTTCACACAAAACATGCAGAACTCCATCTGAACCGATCCTAGCCCTAAACTAAATCCTAAACCCTAGGCACAGCTCACTGATCCAAACATACTGCTGTTCACAGCTGATTTTACAACCATGTTCATGCAGTTAAGCTTATTGGAAATCAAAGGTGTACTTAGTTTAGTTCCAGTGATCACAGGTATTCTATGTTGTGTGCCAGTTATCAGACAGACTAAAAGTCCAAAAGATTACCGAAGAAACTAATCCAGGAAAACAGAATAAAAAATGACAACACCCAAATTCAAAAGGTGACAACAAGTACAAACCAGCTGAGGGTGAGAAAGAAGTCAGGCAAGCAAAAAAAAAACAAAAAAAAACAACAACAGGAGAACTGGGTTACAAAATAGGATTTTAAAAAAAGACTAGATGTACAAACTAGAATCTGATGAGGAAAAAGGAGAAAACCAGGCAGGTTCTAAATTGACAAATAAAGGTTAGTTCATGTCAAGCTAAATGTTTTATCTGTCGCCTTGTTGTGAATTAAGGACTCAATGAGTTCTGGTCATAAGGTCATTCGTCTGTGGCCTGTCCGGACAAACTGAACGTCAGCTCAGCAAAGTAATGGAAAACAGATACTACACATGAATTTATCTCTCAACCCTCTTTATCTACAACTCGCTGTCACATCTGATCTGTGCTGTTTGAATCCACTGCAGGGAAAACAGGAATTGGGTGTCATTTGTCACCTGCTCCCCTCACAGCTGCTGTTGTATCTAGCACGTGGTGCAGGTAGGGAAACTCATGTTTGGACAAGTGATGAGGAAAGGATGTGACATGAACAAAGAGGGGCAGAACTAACCTGAGAATGACGGGGAGCTTTCTTCATTTGTCTCTTTATCAAGCTGAACATCTGGTTTCATAGAAATCAAATTAAAAAGTGAGAATTTTGTAAAATGAACCAGTCGACACATTCGGAATAGTCTGACCTAAATCTCATAGTGAATGAAGAAAGAAGGTGAGAACAGAGAGCATGAAGGAAGAGATATGAAGCTTTTTTCAGATTCATTATTATTATTATTATTATTGCCACAGATTTGTCTTTTTTTTATATGATCCAGAGTTATTCTTACAAAAATGCAGCTCCCACCAATACACCATCTATAGATTGTTTAGGATGTACTTTGAAAAGTGTGTTGATGTCCAGTCTGTTGGGAAAACTGATCAAATTTAAGCTAACAACCAATAATTAATCCAAATCACATATTTCTACATGTCTTTTTTTTTCTTTTTTTTTTTTAATTGCCAGAAATAAAGTCTTTGTTCGAACCAGATTTGTAAAAATTCTGCACGCTTCAGAGAAAATAAGAAGCTTTGACTGACTCATCTGTGAGCAAGAGTCACATGATAAAAAAGAGTTTTTGGCCAAACTGCAGGCAGTGCTTACACAGAGCAGAAGGAAGACATATATGGAAACAAATTAAAAATAGTAAAATATCTATATGTAAAAAATGTAAAGCCACCATTTCTTTTTTTTTTTTTTTTTTTTTTACAGTGATGGAGTTAAATCCATCTTTATTTTATTTTTTTTTCTTTCAGTTTTTGTAAATGAAATAATGAAAGACCTGCGATGGACTGGCGACCTGTCCAGGGTGTCCCCTGCCTTCGCCCTGAGTCGGCTGGGATGGGCTCCAGCCCCCCCGCGACCCTAGTGAGGATTAAGCGGTGTATAGATAATGGATGGATGGATGGAATAATGAAAGAAACTTTTTCTTTTTTTGTGTCTGAGTTTTCTCTCCTTTTTAGCCATAGTTGTGCTGTTTCTATAGAGATGCAGGACTTTATATTGCAGAGAAAAATGAGCCCACAGTGAGTAAAAATACCCTGTTATGTGCAGTGTATTTAAGAATTGGACTATGTTTCTAAATGTTTTACTTACTTTTTCTTGCCTTTGTATGTGGAGTACCCTATAAACAATCATGGGAAGATGTTTTTTTTCGAAGCACTGAAAAACTGCAGCCACATCAGGATAAATGAGCATCACTGAACACAGAACACCACACATCCTGCATGAAACAAATCAAATAAACAGTACCTGCCTATTAAATAACTCACTTCAGTGGGTGTGTGGAGTTTAGAGTGAACACCAGGCATAGGTAGTTTGTCTAGACTCTCTCACAACAGGCTCCTTCACTGTCAGAAATTTTATCTTCCTTTTGCCTGAAGCTAATCCCAAGGTCAGCCGCCATGGTTTTTCATCGTTGTTTGGCTGTGAGGGTGTAAAAAAGAAATCACTAGAACAAAAATAAAAACTAAGACAAGACAGCTGTCATGCCCTTGACTTCTGACGCCGGCTCGTGGCAGATGGATCCTTTTCCCTCCCTCTTTGGCTCTTGCTCTCTCTCTCCCTCTCTCTCTCTTTCTCAGGCGGGTCTCAGCACTGCTGGCGGCGGAGCATGCAGACAGGTGTACCTAATCACTAATCAGCAGATTGGCGCTGCAGGATTGGTCCGTTTCAGCCGCAACCCATCAGTCAACCAGGACTTCAGCAAGCAGTCGGACCATGTTCAGACGCCAGACCGTCGTACCATGCAGTCAGTAGTACTTTTGCGTTTATCTAGTCTGCTCTACTGGTTCTAACTCCTGATTCTTCATTTATCCAGCTGGATCTGCTGCCGACCGCCACCCCCTCCAACATTCCACCATTCACGGACCATCTTCCACCTTCCGCTGCCGATCTACATCGGACTCTGCGCCACACCTGGTTCCCATAGACTGTATAAAAGATGGACGTAGCTACCGTGACGTCACCCGTTGGTTTCTGCACTGAGAAAATGAAGCCAGGGTGGGGAGCTTCCAAGATGGCGCTCTGATCAGTCACTTTTCACTGAGCTCTGCAAACCTAGCTGCCTTTTTATACTTGAAATACGGTAAACAAAAGTATATTTGCGCCGATTCGACATTTATTGCCAACTGCAACTTTCGGTTGTTGCCATTGAACCAAAATGAGCAAACTTGAGAAAAGAAAGACTGAATCCAAGAAATC